GCTGACATGGAAATCTCTCAAAATGGAATGTTGCGAGGCGTTGCACAGAGGATCAGCCTGCCTGTGTTTTGAAGTGCTATCCATTCTCATCCATATCTGAAAGGGACCAAAAGGAATAAGGCAGAGGGCGCGTGGAGGGAGTTGGGTCGTTTCTGGACGGGTTGTGGAGAGAGCACGGGATTTTCTTACATGCTGCTGTATGGGTCAGGTCTTTTAAACTAAGCATGTGTTTGTATTTTAATCTTTTGAGAATATCTTTATGTATTACTTGTAACAAGTCTTTTTGAATTATTTATATAGGCTTATTATATTAAAAAGCTAATGTGTTCCATACTTCAGAGATAAGTATTGTTTAAATTTTGTGCATTTTCTCACCTTTTTACTGGTGCTGCTTTTTGAGTTTTGTTTTTTGTTTTTGTAGAGGTTCTCACCAAGTTGTAGTTTTGCTTCCAGCCTGGCTTTATTCTGTGAGAATCCTGCAGTGTCATTAAAAACTCTATGAACTCGTCTCTTTTGGTTGCATAACTGTGACACATCTGTACTGTGAAATACTGACTTCACATTTCTCTCCTTTTGAGACAGTTACATTGGCTCCCTCTCGTTGTGTCTTTAGGGCATTCATTGTCTGCGATCAGTTCCTAAGTAGAATATCACCTTTCATTAAAAATGTAAATCTTAAAATTGTAGATGTCGTAAGAAGACTTTAAACACATAAAAATATAAAGCAAATTCTTTGGTAAGCATAGACAAAACCACGGAGCCTCTTTTCCGCAGCACAGTAATTAGCTTTAGTGCGGCAGCAGGCTGTCGGGCTGCTCTTGCTGGCCTTCTCTCTATCCTCGCTCTCTGCCCCTTAAACACTCTTTCCCACCTAGGAAAGCCTGGTCTTCTCTCCATTTCTAAAAACAAGCAAATCAGAATTCTGACACCGGCAGCTTGAATCCACCTGTTTGTTTCTTCTGTGACTAGGCGGTTCCTCTAGCAATGAACACCCGTTAGAAAAGGTGTGCATCGCGTTTCTCTGCCCTGTGTGTCTGGAGTGGGTGGCCTGCACTGCATTGGAAGAGAAGCGTTGTGTGAGATCTCAAGTCTAAAGATGAAGTCCTGTTTGTTTGTTGACTAATTACAGGTAGTTTTTGTTATTTTGCAGCTGCTGCTTTTTGTTCTGAGTTACTAGATTTTGAAAAATTATTATTTGCTTTAGTGAAATTTGGGGGTGGATTTGTTGCTACTGGTTATCTAGTTGGGTCTGGTTTTATATTATAGAAATCTAGAAGTGTTAGGTCTTCAAACTAGGATTATGATGTATATCTTTTTAAAATGCAGGGAACCACCTCATTTTTATTTTTACAAATGTGGGTTTTTAAAAATATATTTCTAAATAAAAATATTAAAGGCCAGCTTGATACCTCAGTGTAATAATCTCCTGCCTGGCAAGCGCAAAGTCCCGAGTTTAATCCTCAATCCATGTATTGCTCTTTACTGGTTTAGGCTGCAGTATGTAACAATAATTCATTTTTAACTTAATGAACTAGGTATTTTCTCACATTTGAGTATCATGTATATTTTAGTTGGATTTGTTACTGCAAAGAAACAGTAATTCTCAAAATTGTGGTTACTACAACTAGCATGATTTGGCATCGCCTGGGAACATGTTAGAAATGCCAATTCTAGGGCCCCACCCTAGTACTACTATGCAGAAACGCCTATGTTTTAACAAGCCCTTTGCATTATCCTGATACATGCCCAGCTTCAGGGCCCACTGGGACATGTAGTACATAGACTGTGCATATCCCCCCAAGAACCCCGTGTGCTCAGAGGTGGGGCTTTTGCAAGTGGCTGGATCTTGAGCATGTGATACTAAATCAGCCCATGATTGGATTAACATCACTCTGGGTGTGAGGAAGGCCCACTCTGGTGTGGGTGGCCCCAACCAGTAGGCTTGCAGCCTGGAGAGAATAAAAAAGAGAGAAGCAAGGCTAGCTGCTTCCTGCCTGCCATGCCATGAACTAGTTCTCCCCTGTCATGCCCACCTACATTGGCACCAGCTGACTATGTGTTGAACCTCTATAAACTATGATCTAAAGTCAACCTCTCCTCCTTTAAGTTTTGGATGTCAGGTGTTTTTGTCCCAGGAATGAGATACTAAGGCACCGGGGCTAGACATCTCAGCATTTCTGCCTGGGGCCTGGGTTTGGTTTAATTCCAAGGTGCATGTTAGAGGTGATAGCAGTAGTGCTTCTAATAGCTGTGAGGATGAAAAACTGATAGTAAGGGCTACCTCCCAAGAGCTGCTTTCTTTGTTTCCAGTGGCAAGACCTCAAGAAGTGAGCAGTGAGCCAGGAATCTCTCACTGTTTAATCTCTCACCATTACAGACAAATAGTTTAGTCACAGCAAGCGATTTCAGCGCTTAGGATCATCAGCAGAAGCTCTTCCTCTGATAGCATCGTTTGTGCCTCTTCTATCACTAGGCGCGCCATGCTTCCCCATCAAGATACGTGAGAGTGGTTCAGAAGGGATTTTTTTTTTTTTTTTTTTTTTTTTTTTTTTTTTGTGGAACCGGGGTTTGAACTCAGGCCCTTGTGCTTGCCAGGGAAGCACTTATTCCACTGAGCCATCTCCCCAGCCCCAGAATTAAGGAATTCTTACATGATCTCTCACTTAAATGCTTTTAAGTTATAAATCAAAAAATATTTCATTGGTACAATTAAGATATATATCCCATAGCTATTGTTTTTATTTTATGTAATTGTTACCTTTTTTCTTTGGTACTATCTCCCTGTCTGGTTGTTTTAAAACATTTTTAATATAAAAATGTGTGTGCTATGCTTTTTTTTTTTTTTCTCTCGTGGTACTAGGGATCAAACTCAGGACCTTGCACTCACTTGCCAGGCAGGCACTCATGCCCCTGAGCTATATTCCTGGCCCGTGTGCTTTACCTGGAAAATCCTTTCCTTCTGAGTTTGATATATTCATTTTTAAATTATTTTAGGTGGATCCTTCAAGGTAGAATATTAACTTTTTAAACATGGCTTTGTTTTATAAATAGGAGCCCTTGTTATAAAGAACTAGATCTTCATGCTAAATTTAGGGCTTTAAAGCTTATTTTGGTTCTTAAGTCTAAATTGTTTTTGTTTGTGTTTTAATTACTGTTCGTTTTAGGAAGATAGTTCCACTGCACAGAGGTACAGCTGCTGTGGTGGTGTTGTCTCTTAGTGAGCGTGCTGGACATTAGGTTCCATGACTGAAGAACTTGTACAAAAGCAAGTTCTCAGCGTTCTGTGTGTGTATGGGGGAGTGGAAGGTACACCGAGGCCGGGGTGAAGCTGCTAAATTCTTGAAGGGAGCGTTTCCGAATTTTAAGCAAAAGGCTATCTGAATATTACTCGCCTTATCTGTTTTAAATCATTAAATTTCAGTTTCTTATAAGCTAATAGAAATTAAATTCATCCAATCATTAATTACTTATTTCCTAAATATTTATAACTCAAGAATGAGGAATGTATAGAATATATTATAAGGAGATTCTAATCCAATTAACAGTGGAGTTTCTGACTAGTTTATAGCCAAATATGTGGTAGAGAATTTAGTGCCAGGAATTTCCTGTAATTTAGTAATGTACCCAGGTGAGAATGATAAAATTGTAGAGGGCCTGTGCGCTGGCCTTAGCCAGTCCGCTCTGGTGCAGGCCTGGCTGCATCCAGTGAGTGAGTATTTCTGTCTGTAACCTCTATGCCGGTATTATTGAACCTATTTCCACATATAATTTATCTACTTTATAAGCTGGCGAAACTACTTAACGTCATCACTTTTAAGGTACATAAAACATACTTAAAATGGAAGGCTGAAAATTTTTTTTCCCTTCTGAGTTAAACATGTACTGTTTAACTCCATAAACATGTACTTCATAAAGTGCTTTAGGAGCATTAAGCATTACATTCAATAATGACCGTTAGTGACACAAATTCAAAGCAGTGGTTTAAAATTAGGACTGCTGGCACACACCTATGAACCCAGTGCACTAGGAGTCCCAAGCAAGAGGAACAGAAATTTGAGCCCAGCCTGGGCAATTTAGTAAGACAGGTCTTAAAAAAAACAAAAGGGCTGGGGATATGGTTTAGTGCACAGTTCCTATATTCAATCCCCAGTATTGGAAAGGAAGAAAGGCAGTGCATGCTGTAATCCCAGCACGGGGGAGGCTAAGGCAGGAGCATCATCATTGTAAGCTACAAAGTGAGCTCAGGGCCACTGCATAGTGAGACCCTGTCTCCAAAAGACCCCCCCCCCCAAAAAAAAAAAAAAGAAAAAACCAG